ATATATCGCACAATTTCATCTAAGTTACGTCACTCGGTGTTTGTTCGTGAATATGCTTGCTGTGACACACTCTGCGCATGCAAACTCCGCGTCCGTGGACGCAGAACTGTACGATAAAATGATACCTAGGTAGTAGTGACTTCGACCGTGCATTGGCATAGCGATAGGACTGCCGCGCATCGTCTGCAGGGTATGTTCTCCGCTTGTGACATTGCAAAGGCTTCCTGAGACGACTGCAAACACTCGTAAAGAAGCTCGGCAGTTGCGCCGCGCAGGAGCTGAAGCCAAGAATGGTTGCGAATTGCACGATACTGATTGGTTGAACATGGCCCTCCTTCCGCGAGCTAGCCCACTCTCCGACGCACGCGCTACCCCGGATTACCTACCCCACAGTCATGCCAGAAACCCCAGATGGACATTCGTGCGACACTGCCGCGTAATGCTCGTGAAGTGGAGTTCTGCTCAGCCGGGATGTGAATGTGGCATTGATTTCCAGACCAGGGCTTGGAAACGCCAACGAAATCGTCGGCCGTGGCACGAGTCTGGACGCGGGCTAGACGACAAGAAGAAGTGCCACGTACCAATAGGTGAACGTTGAAGAAGAGGAGCCGAAGCGCATATTTAGATATAACCACCTCTCTGCGCGCATAGCACACTCTCATCGAACTTAACAGCCATTTGTGCTCTTCCGTTTTGGACGAGCGGGTTTATATTTCCGTTGACTTCACCTTCATCTCGCTATAGCGCGAGAAGATCGTTTACCTCGCAAAGATGCTCGACGACATCAAAACCCCGAAGACCATGAAGACCGAAGTCGAACGATATGAGGTTGTTTCAGATGCTGAGACAGGCATCGTGAAGCCCATCCAGGAGCCTGCGGCGATGGGAACTGTGACCATCACCGACCTCGACGAGATCTTCTTGATTCCAGCCCCTAGCGCTGATCCTCAAGGTTTGTGTACTCTGTAGCACGTAGCTCGCCGCCTCACGTACTGAGTCTTCTCAATAGACCCGTTGAATCTATCGAAGTTTCGCAAGATTCTCTTCATCGTGTTGGTCTCGATCTTCTCCAGTTTGGGTCTCGCACTCGTGTCCGGATTTGGAGGTCTTCTTACCTGGTATATCCCTATCTATGCCGCAGCTGGAGCTACATATGGTCAGTGATCTCAGCTCCTCACATGCTCTGACTGCGCTGACCGGGTGTGCAGCCGACATAACCGCGCTGATGACGTACCCTTCAATGTTCATGGGCGTAGGCAACTTAGTTTGCATGCCACTCGCTCTTGCGATCGGAAGGCGCCCTGTCTACCTTCTGTCGTTGTTGTTCTTGATAGCATCAGCCGTCTGGGCCGCAAATGCCAAAGACTACAACGAGCACCTTGGCGCTAGGATGCTCCTCGGGTTTGCTGCAGGTCAGAGCGAGGCACTGGTCCCCATGATGATCCAGGTAACGATAGCAAGACAAAGGCGCGAGAAACGTTCTCTAATTAGGGTGTAGGAAATCCACTTCGTTCACGAGCGTAGTACTTTCCTGATGTGGCAATCTGCCACGCAGACAGTTCTGTCAGCCGTGTACATCATCTGCGCATCACCAATCGCTGGAGCGGTTGGCCCACCCAACTGGTATTACCTAGGCGCCGGTCTTTGCGCAGCCACGTTCATTGCTTCCATTTTCTGGGTTCCCGAGTCAAAGTACGATCGCCCTCTGACCGCCTATGGTCAATTCTCAGCCGAAGAGGGAGGTGAGCTAGAAGGATGTAGGGCGACTGCACCACAGCCGGCTAAGCTCTCCGAAAGACCGCCTCTGGATAACACAAAATTTCTTCCTCGCACAGTCTGGTCAGATATGCGCATCTTCGTCAACAAACCGGAATGGATGGAAGGTTTCTACGGCTTCGTCAATACCTTCCAGGTCATGTTGTTCCCCAATGTGCTTTGGGCCTTCTGCCTAAACGGTCTTACTATTGGCGTCAACATCGCCATTGGAACAACGTACGGCACAATAGTACACGCGCCTCCGTACAACTGGTCGGACAGTTCAGTATCATACGTCAACGCTGGGCAGATCGTTGTCGCCTTTGTGGCACTCCCACTCCTTGGTAACGGCAGCGATGTCATAATCAAGTGGCGAGCAAGACGCAATGGTGGAGTTCACGAACCTGAGAATCGCCTGTTGCTGCTCTGGATTCCCCTGCTATGTGGGTGCCTTGCCGCCACGTTGTACGGCCTGGCAGCGGAAAACCCAGGAGATTACCACTGGTTCGTCTTCGTCTTCGCCAATGCAGCGTATTACTTCGCGTTCGTTGGCGCCAACATCGCTGCAATCACGTACCTTCTTGACTCCTGTAAGTGTTTCCGGATGGACGGCATGTGAGACATACACTGACTTTACATATTTACATTTAGATCCAGCACGCGCTGGCCCTATTCTTGTCGTCATCACGGCTCTTCGAGGCTTCGTGTCTTTCGGCACCAGCTATGGTGTCGCCAGGTTCATCGAGACCGATGGCTACGACGGAACGTTCGGAACGTACGCCGGACTCACGGCACTCTTCGGTCTTTTTGGCATACCCGTCTTCCTGTATGGTAAGAAGATCAGGGCCTATACCGGCAAGTGGGCGATGAAGAAGGTGTCAGGCCACCCTTCGATGTCGCACTGAGAAGACAGTCTGTCGTATGCTCGTGTCACGTCGGCGGAAGATCTACGGAGATACCAGACAGATGAGTACAGCTGTGTTGTATTGGCGTTGCAGCGAGACTGTTGTGTTGCTGTTTTGGCGTGGCTGGGGAAGCGCGTGCGTACTAGTCTAATTCAGATATGTTTGAATGTGGATATCGCTCGTAAACCCCTTGATTGGCTTTCGAGCCGTGTCGTATCATGTTATGTGACTGCTTCTGCCTGATCAGTGATGATGGTGGCAGAGGTGGGCTGGCAACGTACACGGGCAGTCATGCCAACAACGTAGCATTAGCTTCAAGGTGCTGTATGTCCCTGGAAGGGCCCTTCAACGGCGGCCTGAGAAAGCCGGTAAGTTACGGTCGGTATGGATGGGTACCATGGCCTCGCATAGCAATGTCAGTGTCGGTGTTGGCTAGGTCTTCGCTGGTGATGGATGCGTTGACGCGTCATAGGCATTGTCGGCATCCAGTCGAGTCATTTGGACAGCAGCGCACTATAATCAGAACTCTGGATAGAATCTGGTGATCCTCTTCAGCGCCTTTATCTGGTTGTTGAGCCATGCCGTGATAGATGGGTGTCAGACGGGCACGTTGGGTAAGCTTCGTTGATGTCATAGTTTTTCATTTCAGCTAGCGAGAGAAAGCGGCCTAATCTGGACTAACGCGTCACGCTAGGCACGCGTACCAAATCAGGCGCGTTGGATGCTACTCATCCACCACCTCCCCTACCACCTTGGGCGCGCTCCAAAATCAAGCCACCCTCACACTTAGACTTCCGCCTTGATATACGGAACGCCAGTCAGCTTGAATGTTCTCTCATCCATGATCGGCTTGTTCACCGGCTCGAACCGATTGTGCGGGTCGTCCACTCCGTCTCTTTTCGCAACGTTTGAGCCTGTGTGCCTCGCGTTTGGCCAGTGGGTCGTTCCCACCCAGCGCTCGTACGCATCCTTCTTCCTGCGCAAGTCCTCTTGAGTGGCATCTTCCACAGGCATGTAGCATGTGTAGATTGCAAAACGAGGCTGCTTCGTCTTGGAGCTCAGGTTGTAGTGAGGGGTGCGGGAGTCCCACACCAGCAGATCGCCGGGCTCTGCACACACCTTCACCCACTTCAGGCCTTTCTTCTCGAGCCACTTCATGCCGTTCTCAGTGAAGCCATACCACTCTGGTGTCCACGCTGGAATGCGTTCCTCGTCCGCCATGTCTTTATGGAACTCGTCGGACAACAGGTGTCCGCCCGGACACACGATCAATCCGCCGTCCTCTGGACCATTGGGAAGCAGATTCACCAAGCCTTGGAGACACCGGAATCCAGGTTTCAATGGGTCTTGGTCTTGGTGAGGCCACGGCTTGTTTGGTGCCAGGTCTGAGCGACTAGAGTGGCTGTCAGCTTGTTCGAGACATGGATGCGCCCAACATACGGCAATGTGAAGTTGATCGCATCAAACGACACGATCAAGTCCTTGGTATTGTAAACCTTCTCAAAGGCTCCAACAACGCCAGGCTCTCCTCGGATGGCCCAAGCAAAGTCTTCGTGGGTAACAGCATATTGAAGGCACATGCCCTTTTCAGTTATCAACGGGAGCTTGTCTTTGTGGACCGTGGACAAGTCATTGCGGTCGTAGCCGAGGTTGCTGGAGAATGTGAGTGCTTTGCGATATCATGTCGGTGTCTGTACTTACAATCCTTCCAACCAGCTATACATCTTGTCTGCGTACTTGTCGGCCCTCTCCTTCGAAATAGCACCCTTGATGACTGCATAGCCATCTCTAGCCAGGTCGTCCCTCCAGTCTCCGAACGTCGTATCCGTGCCGTCCACTCTCATGCGCTGATCTTCGACGGCCTTCAGCGTAACCGACGCTGTCTTCGTTGCGGTGGAGATCATGTCGATGCGTATATTGGTCTTGGGGCTGTTTGCCGAATTGGATGAAACTTGATTGCTGTGTTTGGAAGACTGGCTTGGAGGTCATATTCAACATTCTTCTCACACAATATCTGAGCGCCTGTGCGATGTGCAGCCTTTGGCGTTGCCCACACGGGCCGAACGTGTGTGGGCCCACCTCTCCGAACCCCGATTACGACGACGGCGCCTGCGAAATGCACGAGCCTGAATACACATTGCGGGGATGTTGAGAGAAAATCTCGTAAAGTGGAGGGTAGGGATCAATTCCAGTAGGTTTCTCGTGCTAGGACGGCAAGAGGTTATCGATGATCAGGTAACCGCTTTCCCGGAATACCACCAGCATGTTTGATAAACCTCCGGCACGGCATCGTGATACTCCATCAACTTCTCTTCCTACACACCCACGACTGCACTCACAATGTCATCGTCAACACCATTTCGGATCATCATTGTGGGCGGTGGCATCGCAGGACTGGCAGCAGCTATAGCCCTTCGGAAGGACAACCGACAGATTACGATCCTCGAACAATCTCGTCTCAGCGCAGAGATCGGCGCTACGATCTCACTACAACCCAACGCCACAAGGATTCTAGAACAGTCGTGGGGGTTGACAGATCTGCTCAACGGCTCGAACGGCACGATCGACCACGGATTCAGGATCTACAATGCTGACGGCAAGATGGTGAATGAAATACCTCTACGGAGCAAGACGCAGTATGGCGCAGACCGCATCATGTGGCACCGCGAAGATCTCCACGCCTATCTCAAGAAGACAGCTACATCCATCGAACTGGACGGCCAGCCTGCAATACTGCGTACTTCGGCACGAGTATCTCGGTGTGACTGTGAAGAAGGCAAGGTCATACTTGAGAGTGGTGAGCATTTAGAAGCAGACCTTGTCATTGGCGCGGACGGCATTCACAGTGCTCTACGTACTTCTATACTCGGTCAAGAGGCCCATCCCAAACCCACAGGTTCCTCGGCATACCGGCTTATGCTGCCAACTGCGATTCTGAATGAGCGCGCGCCACAATTCTCCGCAAACATCAACCCAGAGGAGCCCTATACTTCTATGATCATGGCACACTCCTGTCGACTCATCATGGGTCCTGCACGCGGCGGATCACTTTACAGTATCGTTGGACTGGTACCGGACGAGCAGATGAACGAGAATTCCGACAGAGCGCAGTCGTGGGTGACGAGAGGACACCCTGAAAAGATGTTGGAAACATTCAAGGATTTCCCCAGCTGGACCAAAGATGCACTCCGGAATGCCGAAAGCATAGGTCTCTGGCAGCTGCGCGATTTGGATCCGCTAGATAAATGGCACTCTGGACGCGCGATTATCATTGGGGATGCCGCGCACGCTATGCTACCGACTCAAGGCCAAGGTGCAAGCCAAACCATTGAGGACGCCGAAGCTTTAGGGACGCTCTTCAGTCACATCATTGACAGGCCATCCAAGGACGAAGTGTCTTCGATCCTAGAAGACGTCTTCAAAAGTAGACACGAACGTGCAAGCTTGATACAGCGATTCAGTCGCGAAGCTGCGAAGCCTGCAACGGAACGAGGCAGCAATGTGATCAAAATGTGAGTGCAAGTCGCGCAGGTTTTTTGGCATGATCTAACCGGGACAGGCACCCTGATGAATTCATGGATTACAACTGCACCTATCGGGGAGTGCATGATTGGGAGCAAAGGCGTTCTATGTCAGCAATAACGGTTGGTCTCAAAACAACAGCAGTGGCTTAGACCAGGTCCCACACTTCGGTCGACACGGGTATTGGCGACACCTGAGCCGCACCCTCTGAATCGATGTTTCTGCTGCAATTGTAGACATAGGCGACATGGCTCGATGAGTGAGGCTTGCAATGTGAAACGTGACTACTCCCGAGGATGTTGAAGGTTCGGCAATTGATATGCCGTCGGCTCGATTGATGTGACGGTTCAGACACACCCCGCATCTGAACAAGGGTAGGGGCGCCCACTTTCCGATGGTCGGAAGCCTTGATGCGCTTTGAACTGCCTGCTCATCTCCCACATTTCCGTTCATCAGTCTTGAATTATGTCAGTCGAGATAGCGGTGACCCCAACGAATGCGCGACCCTCGAAACGTAAGCGCACTTCCGATGCGTCAATTGGTGGGCTTCAGTGTCAAGTCTGCCATCGATCATACGAACGTGCCGACCACTTGAACCGACATCTAGACTCACGTGAGTTTCGCTCACCGTTGGCCATCACTCAGCAAAATCCTAACGATGCACAGACCGCAACGAGAGATCGTTTCATTGTGAGGAGTGCCCTGCAGCGTTCAACCGAAGGGACCTGCTACTCAGGCATCAAGCAACTCACACGAAGAATGCTAAAGATGGGCTCGTAGGCCCATATCGCGTAGCAGAACGTGCCACAAAGGCCTGTAACTCCTGCGTCGTATCAAAAGTCAAATGCGACAATGGAAGGCCATGCAAACGGTGCCAAAAGAAAAGCCTACCATGCCTGACAAAGTCGCCCGATCCGTCACCGCTCGCTCAAGCAGGTGTAGGAGAACAGTCAGCGCAAGTGTTTGCAGCATCTGTTGGAGAGCAAAACAACCCATACCAATTTGACGATGACATACAGCTGAACGATGTCTACCTCAACGAGACCAATACTGAGGCGCAAGCTCTACTCGATCTGTACAATACCACTGGTTATACTCAGCATACCATCCCGGCCTTTTTCGAACAAATCATGGTTCCCGCACCCGACTTTTTGGGTAGTGACTACATGCAGCCGCCTCCAGATCTGACAGCATGGATGCCAGAGACTGACTGGCTTGGTCAGATTGACATCTTTGGCAATGATTTCACTCCAACTGTTAGTCAGATGCTAGAAGCGCAGACATCGCAGGTGACTGCCTTGCCTTCTGCAACGCCGCCTCTTAATACAGATGTTTCTCACGAGAAGATTGATAGCAACTCCGCGAAGAGGCGCCATGCAGTCTTCAAACAGTCTGCCTGGTAAGCCACACTGACCGATGGACCAATCAGCGCTGACCCACTCTAGGTTCTGGATCCCTGAGCGTAACCAGCACGCTTTCAGCGAGCACGAAAACATCGCTCTGGACGAGCGTAACGTCGATCTCGCCTCGTCACCACACATGCCATATTCTTCCAACGTTGTGATCCCAGATAAGCTTTCGCCGGCAGCCCGTGACCGCATCTTCCAATTGGTGTCGAAGACTGCACAGAGCCATATCACCATTCCTTCTTTCCCTTCGGCAGAGTGCGTCGACAAGCTGATCAAGGTTGGGATTGCAAAACGTACTGAGACTGATGCATGGATCCATCCGTATACCTTCGAAAGCGAGACTGCCCGGCCAGAATATCTCACTGCCTTGGTGGCAGCTGGGTGCGTATGTTTTGGCGTACTCTCGGTGAGCAGAACAGGCTTGGCGTTACAGGAGATAGTCCGAGTCGCGTTGAACAGGCTGGTAAGTCTTTTGCAAATACCGGGCTTGACACCAAGTCGAAGGATGTCTAATACGTCTCCAGTCCGAGAATGATAACAGTGTGATACGCGACCTTGAATATCTTCAAGCTTCGATGCTTTGGCTTGACATCGGGGCCTTCTGTGGGTACAGGAGGAAGATGGAAATCGCGGAGAGTAGCTTGCAATCTCTTGTCACGGTAAGAAGCTCTGATATGACCATCTAACGCACGCTGAAGGTATAGGCACTGCGGCGCGCTGGCAGATTCGATCACATCCGGTATCCTGTAGTTACACCGTCTGCCGAGGATGGTGACGAGGAACTACATGCAAAGTGGAAGCAGTGGGTGGAGCAAGAATCTTACAAGAGGTATGTTAGACACAGTGGACTCTCTTCACCCAGCATCTAATACAGACAGGTTGGTATATCACTTGTTCGAGCACGATATCCACATGACTATGACCAAACATCGCCCGCCACTGATCAGTTACGCTGAACTTACGCTCATGTTGCCTGCCTCAAAGACGTTGTGGTTGGCACCTTCAGCAGAGACATGGCGAACGCGCTATCTTGACATGGACGTCGTCGCCAGCGCTCCCTCACTGCAAACACTTCTGAAAGACGAAGCTGCCATACACTGCCTTCCTGCCACCATCGACATGCAGATCGCTCACTCCTCATATCTACATGGCATTGCTGCACAGATCTGGGAGTATGCACAGCAATCTGCGCTGATGAACGAGAGCAGCGACGCCGCTTCACAGCTCTGGGCTCGATCTCGTCAGGAAAAACTGTTGGTATATTTTCTCTCATACTCGATGAAGCTGACACTCCCCCCCAGATACCAATACCTTCAACGCGAAGACCTTCTACCCAGCAAACATCCAGCCGTGACTTGTCTTTTCCACCAATTCTTGCAGATGTACCTCCACGTCAATCTCGACCTAATCACGCGCTTCGCCGGCAAATGCGGCGAGAGCGCTGCCAACAGCGCGTACACTCACCTCTCACCCTGGAGCCAAACCAAAGAAGCCAGAGTCGCAATCTGGCATGCTGGACAGGTAGTCCGAGCTGCGCGACAAATCCCGCCATACCAGATCCGCGGCCCAGATTCCTTCATGTTGTACCATGCCATTATGGTCCTCTGGACATACAGCATGATGACGCGCGACCTAGCGAAGAAGACCGGTACTACGACGCCGATGCGCACACGGCCAAGTTCGCTTCCGGGCAAAGTTATCTACCTCGATGATGCCGCCTCTGATAACCAGGCTGGCGTTAATGCCTTCATTGCTACGAACAGCGGTATACCGTGCCTTCGCATCATCTCTACGCACCAGCCAGTGGCATCGGAGTCTGGAGCGATTGCTCGGCCCGAAATCTGCAACCTCAAGTATCCTTCACAGGTTATGAAGGTGGGCGTTATGCTTCTTGAATCCACACATCCTGACGTGGATCGTGAAACTGGGCCGCCGCTCGTGCGGGCGCTTTGTGGACTGATGGAAGAACTTGGAGGTCTGAGATGAGAGGATTTGGTTTATTCCATTGCGATGGCAGGACTCTACGCTTACGATCTTGATTGTCAACATACAGTTCCTTGTCAATCAGCACTGTGCTCGCGCACACCTTGATCAAAAGTCGGGGTGGGGCAGCGAAGTCAAACGAGCGCATTGCAACGAAGAATGAGAGACACTGATCGTAGAGCGATTAAAATGTATTTCGTGATCTCATAAGCCCGAGCACTTCGCGCTAGACCCTTCCATTCCACAGTACCAAGAAAGCAAAAACATGCTTCGACTCAACATCCCTAGACCCACCCGATAGCCATCGGAAGTCCAGTACAGTCCGAAGCCCACGTAACCATCAGAACCGCCGTTCGCCGACGGCAGTTATGACAGCATATGTACACCCCACTTAAGCCTTGTTAGAGCCGCGCTTTGAGCCACTCGCAAGATCGGCAAGATCCTCCATGAGGTCATTCCAGATCTGCTTTACCATACCCTCACCCTCCTCACGGGTTGAGGTGAATTTGTTGGCGACAGCCTCAGCGATGCCCTGGTAGCCAGACTGGTTTGTGTCGGACACTTCGGTCATTGCGGAAGGGGAGTGGATGTGGGTACCGTCAGCGGAGACAGTGTAGATTGTGGGCTGCATGGGGATCTAGGAAGCATATCGTTAGCATTCTTGCGCGATAAACAAAAGACAGAGAGTGGGACAAGACTTACGGAATCCTCGCTCTCAGCACCCCGGCTGGCAACGTTGGCCCATGGGATGATAGGGACTCTGATACCCATGGGCGCGCTTCGGCTCTCCAGGTCAAACTCCGGGAAGTGCATAAAGTCCAGGGTACTGGAATCGCCAACGGACTTTAAGCTCCTCGATGTGTTAAAGCGGCGGACTTTGTTGCCGGTCTCGGTAGCCTCGGGGACTGGGATGGTTTGCTCGCCATGAAGGCGGATGGGTCCAGCTGAGCGATTTGAGGCATAGGGCTTGTCGGTTGTGAGGAGCGATGAAGAGGCAGTCGAACCTGTCATTGACAGCTGGCGGACTGTGAGACGAGGGCCCAGAAGGCGGGGGCCGGCGAGGGCGCTGATGATGCGAACGCTGGGTTTTGAGGCGGCCATTGCGAAGATGTGTGTAGTGTTGAGGTATGGGAAGTTGGATGTGAACGAAACGCAAGTGCGCGCGGAGAGGAAGAAGTAGTAGTACTTGAAAGAAGCAAGACGAGCAATTAGTGGTAGATTATAAGACGATAAGGTTTCAGTGACGCAAAGATGCGGGCGTCAGTAAGCTTCGGAAGGCGGCGGGCAATGGGAAGCGCTATCAGGCGAACCGGTAGACAGGAACAGGTGTTGAGAGGACAGGAATGACAGCTGAGCTCGCGACACAGTGAGGGGAAGCTCTCCCTTTTCTAAGCCCTCGAGCCTCACAACACAGCAGCGGCGACCACCTTCGGATTCCTTGGCCTGCGTTCTGGAATCTCTACAGAGAGCGGTCAGTGAGCTGTGCTGTACAACGACTCAGGACACCCTCGTGGATTGTTCACTTCATAACGAGTGGGCACATCGGGAATGCAGCGTTGGACTCCGTGGTGCTCAGTGGATGGGAGCTTGCTGGGAGGGAGCTTGGGGCACCCACTATACTGCATGTGGCACAAGGGCTGGCCCGAACCAATGGAAGGGACCCGCTCTAGCATGCCCAGCACGTCTCCCCCGCACTTTTGATCATGGTCGCAGCGTGCTCAAATAAACCGTCTGATGTCTTGATTACGACTACGGCACTCGATTGGAGTGGAAACATGATAGTCGTTGAGTGTCCACGGACAGCATGTTCGTTCGTGATGGCGACCACCTTGAACGCAACGGCGCCAAAATGTCGGTGTAGCAGTTGTTGAGCGCACAGTTGCAGGGGGGATCGCCATAGGTTTAGCGATGTCGGCTCCCTCCCGTCACCATGCACAGGACATACTTGTGCCTGTATGATCGGCTCTCCACCCAGTGCGCATAAGCTTCGGTGACACTTTACTGGGCAAATGAGGCGTGCGATAAGGAGATGCGCCCAGCCTGTTCTGTTTTACCAAGACGTCAAGATCGGGGTCTTGTGATGCCTGCATGCCGACCTTGCATGTATATACGATGCAATCTGGTTGTGGTGGTGTTGTGCTGGGCAGTCTGCATCTCGATGTCGTGCTGGGTCTGCGGCTTGATTCTACTATCCTCGCGATCAATGCTTGCAGCACAGACGGTCAAGGTCGACAAGAAGTTCGAGATTTCTGTCGCAAAGTCTTCCGAAAGGAGTAAAGTGAGGCTGTGAATTCCATGATTAGAAGCGTCCCACCCTGACTAAGATATACCACTGCCCCACTGCGCACCATGTCCACGTACCAAATCGGCACCAGCCGCCTCAAACCAACATTCCCACGCGACTCCACTTACCCAGCGACCTCCCAGACGTCTCCGCCATGTCCTTTGGAGGCTGTTCAACCAAGTACTAGGACCACCTACTTTCGAAATTTGTCATCAACAAGACAAAAGTCGGCCTGATGGTCTAGTGGTATGATTGTCGCTTCGGGAAAATTATCCTGGATACAGAGTATCTGTTATGTGACAGGCCCCGGGTGTAAGTTGTCACAGCCTTGAATATGTGAAGTTTAGAATCTAACGTTTGTAAAGTCGAATCCCGGTCAGGCCCACTCTCCTTTTTTGCTCCTGCAACGCTCACAGAAGCTTCGCACTCTCTGCGTGATTCTCTGCATCTTTTTTTTACCCCCTATTTGTAAACTATAAGATTGGAATTCACCTTTTCCAGAAAACGCTTTCTTTTGCTATGCATGTTTGCTGCCTCCAGACGTGGGGACGAGGACGCATACAACACATGGAACAGCTTACAACGCGCATCTTCGCCTATTCCCTGCGTGTATTGAGGAAAGTATAGCATAAACCAATGTCACGACGGGAGATCCTACAATTTGCCCATCTATATGCGCCTCTGCAAAGCACAAGCCTACGAAACGCGCATCCAGTAACTAGACTAGACACCCTCTCGTGCTTGCTTTCACAAACACGCGGTACAGGAACACAAGCGAACAAACGTTGCAAACCATGCGCGTCTAAAATAGTGGTCACATCAGAACTTTGTCTGGCGTCCCATGCTGTATGATTAAACTTACATACATCAGGATAATTCTCCAGCGTAGCCAAAGCACCAGTCACATCACATCTCCAACGACCAAGAATCAAAGTGAAGGCTTGAAGCTACATTTCCTGTGGTATATACTCTGGTCTAAATCAAGCAATACAACGCCACCGAGCAAAGACGGCTACAAGCAGGCGTCGAGGCCCATAATCTCCAAAACAAAACTCCCTGATAGTCTCCAATCCGGGGGTATCAATGACCCTTAGGCGCGTACGAAGCAATGAAAGTGGTATCCAAACAAGAAACATGAAGTGACAGAAGGCACAGGCGCGCATGGTTCGTAGAGACAAGTCGTGAATGCGTTGCAGAATCGTGAAGAGATGAGGGCCGCCAGAGAAAACAGAGCGTGAAGAAGGACGGTTACCGTCCGTCGTACGAGTCACTGACCCACCCGCTGTTATTTCCACCAGCGTACATGGGCTGTTGACCGCCCTGCTGGTAGTCGCTCTCTTCTTCAAAGTATTCGCCTCCACTAGAAGCGTCGAAACTGCTGCGACCGCTAATATCGCCATCGTCGTCAGGCGGCCCGGCTGGGAGCTGATCCCACTGAATGCCCGCGAGTGCTGGGTACTGAGCGAGAATGGCAGCGGGCAGGAATGGCTGTGGGGCTTGCATGCCACCAGCCTGAGGGAACGACTCGAAGCCTGTTTGCCCGGGCATCATGCTACCAAAGTTTTGAGCTGGCATTGGTGCGAACATGCCATTGCCATTGTTCAGCTGCTGATTTTGGCCATCCCATTCACCCTTCTCGCGCGCCTCCTCTTCGAGTAGCGGTCGGATACACACACGGCCTGCCTCGGATCGGAAGTGACGTCCAAGAGCATCTGCACGAGCGAATCGTCGACCACAGCCCCAGTTGTTGCCATTCTTGAGGTTGCCACGGCAGACAAACTTCTTCTCGCCCGAATGGAGACCTTCATGTCGCTTGCGATCGTGCTGGCGCGCAAAGGCTTTTCCACAGACACTGCAGACGAACGGACGCTCGTCCGTATGTGTTCGCAGATGCGATCGAAGGTTGTAGGCTCGAGTGAAGCGCTTCGGACACAACGTGCACTGGAAGGTTGCCGGATGCTTCTGTGTGCGCTTTGGGTTGGAGCCATCCGCGGGCGCAGGTCGCGACGGGTCTGCAAGATCCAAGATGTAGTCGCGATTGGGTACGCTTGATGTAGAAGAACGGCGCGAGGATTTATTCGAGGGCGACGGAGAACGAGACTTGGCAGCGTGTGGGGAAAGTGAGCGGTTCACATCCGAGCCTGGTGTTGATGCGCGCGAGCTAGCACTGCTAAAAGGATCGGATCTGGCGCGAGTTCTGTTCCGGCTGCGTGCTGTTTCGCTGTTAGAAATGGTTGGTAGGTTTCATTGGACTGCTTACATCTGTCTGGCGGGCTCAGCGCATCTATTTGATGCTCGGGCTTGGGTGGCTCAAAGCTTGCTTGCCGTGAAGGCGGTGCAAAGTCAATATTGATTTCCGGCGGCGACATGGCGTCGGCCTGACCGAACTCAGGCACAGGCTGATTCAGTGAGGGGAACGGCTCAGCTTGACCTGGGTAGCTGTTCATGTCTGGAGGCGCATACGGGTTCATGTTCTGGGTGAGACCAAAGGTTTCGGGCTGGAATTGAGGAAGGACTTGTTGATTCTGGGGAAGCAGACGAGGCGAGATGTGGGGGCTGTTACCCGCGCTCATGTGCGCATTGCTGCTGTTCAGGTTGAATCGGTCGAATCCTGGGACAGGGTCCTGGAATAGCTGGGGGTCGTTCTGTGCGTTGATGAGGGGTGACGGCTGCTCATTGTCCAAGCTGTCCTGGTGGTGCAGGTACGGCGAGTTGTGCACCGACGATGCGTGTACAGAGGACGCAGCATCGCTGTTGCCCCTAGACCTAGACCTGTGCTGGCCAAACCCGCCCGCCATCTGCCCCCATTCCGTAATCTGACCGTAGGCCGCGCTGGGGTCTAATGACGTGTGTCGCGAATGGCCGGGTGATCTGAAGGGGCCTTGGTTCAGGTTCGGCGAAGCATGTGGGCTCGGAGAATGGTGGTTGTTCATGTTGGGCAGCAGGTGCGGCGGGGTAGGCGCGTTGTGCTGTGTGGCTGCCATCTGGTGCATAAGATCGGAAGGGTCGATAGACTGGTTGTGTTGCGACTGGCTGTCGAGCATGTGCGGGTCAAGCGTGTTCCCAAGATACGAGGGCAGCGATTGGTTCTGGCCGAGGTCGTTGGCCTGGAAGAAGTTGGCGTAGTCGGCGTTGGTGGAGTTGGCGATGTCGAGTGGGTCGGGCGAGATGTTGCTGCCTTGGGGGCCGAATTGCGGAGTGTTGTGCTGCGAAATGTTCTGCGCAGCTTGGAAGAAAGCTGGGTCGGCAAAGGTGTTCTGCTGGGGGAATGGCTGGCCTTGGGTCGTGGTGAGGAAGTGCGTGCTGTTTAGCCCCGCGCTGGTGACGGCGTACGAGGATGGGTCTTGAGCAGGATCGAAGCCCAGGCCGACGTTGTGCTGGTGCTGGAAGGGCGCATGTGGGCTGGGCGAGGGAGAGTGCGCCTTATGAATGCGCTGGCCGACTGAGGGAGAGCGCCCTCGCTGTTGGATGTCCATGATGTAGGTGCTGGATTCGCGTGTGCCCAAGAATAGGTGGGATGTGGAGGAGGGAGCCCTGGAGGCCGCGCTTGGGCCAACGTGGAGAGCTTCGTAGACACCAAGAATCAACGGCCGGCTGTGAGTGGTCGAATATCCTCCAGGTACACGCAATGTCGTCGGGTTACTGGCTTGTCTGCTGAGGCTGGTGAGTGTGAAGGAGGCGCAGTGTAGTCGTCGGTCGCAGGACACAGCCCACCTCACGAAGAGCGACGGCGCTGGAAGCGGCCTAGTCCGCTATAATTAGCCCCGCAATGGGAGAGCCCGCTGCAAAGTTCCTTGTGTGTTCCTTGGTTTCAGACTCTTGAGAGACGTGAAACCACGAGCTAGGGGATGCGTTATGCGTTGTTCTTCTGCCCGCCGGTGATGACGTCGGGAGCAACGCGGGCGAGGGAGCTGGACGTGGGCAGTAGCAATGGCGACAAGCAAGCGCGGCTGCGAGTCCCTGGGAGATACGCGCTGGCCGACGTGGAACGTTGTCGCGTGATAGTCGCAAAGCAATTCGTGGGTTTAGGTTCGGTGGAATAGAGCTGACCGCTACTGGCATTCGGTCTTGGGGAATCACTGTGTTCAACTGCTCACTCCGCCCCAGCCTTATACAACGACTTAGCTTGCGCATATTCACGCGGGCCGTCCATTGGTGAAGCGTCTAATAGCCGGCTACGGCGGGCGGTCGACGACACCGCTTGAGAACATCAAAGTGATGCCGAGCCGTCACAAAACGTTCGAATCACACCCTCGGCGACCAATCCGACGGGCAACACTACTGGCCCAATTTCACACACCGCGCGATTCTTTGGCGCGAAGGCCATTCGGCGAGCCGTCGCGTCCCTGAGGTCATTACCCGTAGGCCCACTGAGCGTTCTCTGCACTGCCTCGCTCGAACCAACGTCGCAAGGCGCACTTTCTCAAGGCGTACTCCCATGTCCCCACAAACCAAGCCCTCGCTCCTATGCTCGACAACGTTGTGAGATGCATTACTTAGCTACGATAATAATAGCATATTTGGTCCCAATTGTGTGTTTTCGCAGAGCCGCACAAGTGCATGTGCATCGGGTCCACATCTCGACCATATACTACTTGTGCTAATAGCACGACGCTTCAGGCCACCAAATCTACCCAAACTTTAGGCCTTGTGCAGGGTCCCACCGCCCATCTTGTGGAGGACCCGCAGAAGGTCGAGCGTTCCCGGATGATGTAGGCACCCCACCAAACCGGATTCCAACCTCTGGTGTCCACATACCAGACGGCGGAGGTACGTTTGCTCTCGTGGGTGTCGGAGCTGCCAAAGGTTCTTCCGCATGTGCAGTCGCACCATAATGCGGGTTTTGTGCATCTGCCGCTTTCTGCTGATGTAATGAGTTTGTCGTTGCTTGCTGGAGGCCGAGGGAGCTCATTCGAGTAGTGAGATCGCTGGGACCATTAGCATAGGCGTTGGAACTAGTCGTTGCATCTGTATACCTTTCTAGATGTGACGCTTCTGACTTGCGATTGTAAGCAAAAGTGCGCGCTTCATCCCGAAATCGATTTACAATCTTAGCTAGGTCATTGTAAAACTTTCGCCCAACGTCGAGATTCGAGATGATCTCCTTGTACTTGAAGTATGCGTTTTCTAGATTTTGCAACGCTTGCTCACGCTTCTTGGTGGATTGATCGCCACGACGAGCGATCAAGAACGCAGCGTTTGCGTCTTGCAGTCGCTTGATAGCTTCTGCCTGCTCCTTTTCTTCTTCTTGGATCATGTCTTGGTCGGCATCGTACATCTGAAGACGCTTATCGAAAAGCCCTTCAAACTGCACAGCCTCGATTGTCTGCATAGGGTACTCCCGTTCTAAGCGAGCAGCTTCGCGCAACAGCTCCGGATCTAGCCTGCTGTCAGAATATGGCTTGTGTAGGGATGCGCGGGACTTACTTATGTCGTCTTGCTTCGCCTTTGTCCGCAATGCCTCAATCTTCCGCCGTCGCCTACTCTCGAGCCTGCTGACTTCATTGAAGCTGCCACGAAGCTTGCCGGCCTCGCGCTCGACATCGCCAGTGATGGCAGGTCTCCGGCCGCTCGGGACGTAGTTTTCAAGCTCGTGGTCCGGTCCACTGAGCAATCGTATGAAGTGCTCATTCTCCTTCAACTTCGTCTTTACGATATTATCACTGTTAGTAGCAGCCTTGAAGTAGCCGTCAATTTCGTTGATCTGGGCATAGAGCTTAGGCGCTGCTTGCTCTGCGGGCGGCCGTGTCCAGCGCTCTGTGCCAAACTTGCGTCGTGCGCCTTCGTCCTCTGTCGCTTCCGACCTCAAGATATCGACACCTTCTTGATATATAGCTTGGTCGGTGTACATGAGCTTCTTCGTATCCTCCATTGAGCGCAAGAGACGGTTGATGCCATCTTGTTGACGAATCTCTTCAGCGTGTGCTACGAGACCAGGGGGAAGTCCCAGCGGCTTCTCTAGAGCCTGCAAGGAGCCGGGCAAGTTTAAGCTGCGGAGTACCTCGTGAATCTTATTTGTCAATGACTCTAGCTCTTCTACGATGGTACCGTTGACTAATCGATCCCGTCGGTCTACGTAGATGCTAGCAGCCAGATGCACTGAGTAGGGCACCAGCTTGGAGAAGAGCGCTGGGCCAAGCTCGCCGCGCTCTCCCAGCATCGAATTGGACTCGGCTATCTCCTTGGGGACTCTCGAGACTACCATATTGGCTCGATCCAGAATCTTGAGCTCTGCCTTTGGTGGTACAGGTAGCAGGTAGATCATGTCATTGTCCTTCTCGGCCCGCTTCAGGTCCTCCGTTATCCGGTTCTTCAAGCCGTTGAGATCTGCAAGCACGACTTTGTTGATGTAGCGCTGCTCCTTGAGAGCCTCGTTGACGCACGTAAGACTGTCGCGTAGCCGGGCAACCTCCTCGCCATACTTGCGCTTCTCGAGAGAATCGCAGGCTGCGCGGTATTGTGCAGCAGCCGCAAAGTGGTGGTGTTTCGCCGTCATATGATGTATCCACTCGCTGCTGATAGCGTCCGATTGTATGCCTGCGTCTCCCGCCTCGTTGTATAGATCGGATACGCGGGCGGCTAGTTTGGCGATGGTCGCGTCTTTCATCCCGTCCTTGACAGCCTTCTGCCAGAAGCACTCCTGCCCTTGAGCTAGCATGAGCTTTTCCAGGCACTCGAGTGTCATGAGGTCCATGTCTTCGGGTGGCTCTGTCCGCAGCTCCGGCAGGATAGTATTCCTCAAGTGTGACAAGACTCCGGCTGCGAGGCAAAAGTTGTTGGCTGCCATCTTCAGCCCGTCTGGTGTGCTCCGGTTCGACGACATGGCCAGCTGGGAGTACATGGCCGCGAGGTTGAACATGATGTTGGCGAGTTCGAAGCGGAGGTTGTTGCGCGATGTCGGGCGGCTCGTGTTGTATCCCAGCGCAGGATACCAGGGAAACTCTACGCCGATGTCGATGGGGAACTTTCCGCTCAGCCATATCAGCTGCGCGGCGTACTGCTGCAGCTTCGGGATGTTGCTCGGGTGGGGTTCTTGGGCGTGGGTGGCGACGGACCGCAGCTTCTCGATCGTCTCGAGGTCTTTGGTGAACATGTCGGGATGCTGGTCATATTTGGAGGATATGTACTGCTTGATGGCGTCGGTGAGGTTCACAGAGTGCGAGCGCCGGAAGGGGAGGAACAGGATGTTGCTGGCCATGGTGCGGGTTGTGTCGTCTGCTGGCTGGCTGCTATACTCAAAGTCATGGGCAAGAAATGTTTGGCCGTGTTTACAGGCGGCAGTGGGCGACGTCACCGCCCAACCGCCTGGGCGTGCGAGGGATGCAGCTTGAGCCCCGCGCTAGCCAACGTGGGGCGGGCGCGGCCTCAGGGTTCAGCAATTCACCTGCAGGAACGGGCCCAGCACATGCGAGACTTGGACATGGCAATTTACGGGTCGCGGCATCCAAGACACCGTGTCCCCATGTCAGAGCACCGGCGAGGACACCTAATCGTGTGCTCCCAGACCCTCACTGAGCATGTTTCATGCCGCCAAAGTATCGCCATGTCAAACGAGACACGGACATTGTACATACATGGCTGAGGCGCGCGCGGTTCCACAACCCGGAAATGTCGTGATGGAGGCTCAATATGTCAGCGGGGCGCGACGGCAATCTATAACAATCTAGCCGAATTGCACCACCATCTTGAAACTTGCTCATCCGCTCGTCGCGACGTCCTTCCGCTAGTGATACCTATATATACTAGTCACAGCTCCTCTCTTCGCGGTTATCAAACAAACACAATATTACAGCCCCGCGACCCGCACTAAACCTCCGACCCTATCACCAACACCACCTACAAACCTCGTACATCATGACGCACACCTACAAGTTCAACGTTGCCATGAGCTGCGGCGGCTGCTCTGGCGCTATTGAGCGCGTCCTCAAGAAGCTCGAGGGTCAGTTTCCGATGCAGCATGCGCCGGCGGTCCAGGCATCATGTTCTAACTATTCCACAGGTGTTGAGTCCTTCAACGTCTCGCTCGAGAACCAGACCGCCGAGATCACCGCCGCCGATTCGCTATCCTACGACACCGTCCTCGAGAAGATCAAGAAGACTGGCAAGACCGTCAAGTCCGGCGAGGCTGACGGTGAGGCCAAGGACATCTAGAGAATGCAACGTAGCATGCACCTACGACAGCCTTTTTTCTATATTGTTTTTGGGTCAATGAGCGATGGATTTCACGGCTGTGATTGCGCGCACGCTCTGACTTTGAGCTGCCGCCACGGCCCTCTACATCTGGTGCGATTTTGTAGATGCAGCGAATAAATGAAGAATACCCTCCCACCCTAAATCCACACCTGACTATATGAGATACCAAAGTCGCTTTTGGGCGCGATGCAGGTCAAAACATGAATAATGTAGCACGTTCGAATCATTTCAGGGGATTCCGATAGAGTCAAGAGCGGTGCGCATGCGCCATCACAGTCCCCAG